TAAGAATTAATCTAAATATTTTCTAACCAAACAAAATATATAAAAGAGTATATATACTATTCATATTAATATTTGATACAATTATTTTAAATAATAAAAAGAGAAAGCTATTTAGATTTTACTCATTAAAGTTTCCAAATCATTTTAAATCAAAATAATATTACATAAAAAATCAATATAGATCTAATTTTACTTTTTTAATCAGTACAAAATAAGTTAACTTCTTGATAATTAAATATTTTTTTCTTTTTTTATATTAATCTCATTTTCTATATGGATGACTAAAATAGTTTATATTTATTGGGACAATATAAATACTCATAAATAGAATAAATAATAAAAACAATGCTTTATTTAAAAATAGTATGGAATTCACCCATGAGGTTCAAAATGCAAATTTCAATCTACCTGAAAGGATCGTGATTCCACGCTCTTTTAACGAGAGTGAAACTAGCATAAACCTTGATTAAACCTTAATCAAAACAGAGTTTCAAACCAAACCAGAAGAGTTTAGTAAGAAAGCAACTCATCCTTAGTCAACGCCCCGCCGCACATACAGAAAATGGCAATAAACATTAATTAAAATTACTAAAATAGAACCAGAAAAGGTTTTTTTTTTTTTTTTTTGGGGTTTTTCTTCAAGAGCACCTATCCCAAAGTCAACGCCCCCTCCCTCATCTCCGCTTCACCTCTTTCTCTCCTTATCTTCTTTGTTTCTTCTCTCTGAAATCAACTACTAGAAACACTTTCTACTGATTTCAAATTCAAAAACCCAGAAAAGAAATCAAGAAAAGCTCTGATTTTTCTTTTTCTTTTGTAAAGATTTATCATGGGTAACGGTATTGGAAAGCTGAGCGCCTGTTTTAGCGTCGGCGGCGGCGGCGGCGGCAGAGAAGCTCGCCGGAGAAAGGAGTTGCCTTTCTATTTATCGGAGCCCCTCGATGAAGGTCTCGGTCATTCCTTCTGTTATGTTCGACCTGACCCTACTCTGCTATCCTCATCCAAGGTCCACTCCGAGGAATCAACAACCGTGTTCCGTGCAATCTCGGGTGCCTCGGTGAGCGCCAATACGTCTACTCCGCTATCGACCGATCCGTATGGATACTGTAGCTTCGATAGGGCGGCAGCTTTTGAGAGCACGACGTCGTTCGCTTCGATCCCTCTGCAACCGATTCCCAGGAATATGTCGGGTCCGATGTCTGGGAATCTTGTTCCGGGTTCGGGTCCTCTCGAGAGGGGGTTCATGTCGGGTCCGATTGAGAGAGGGTTTATGTCGGGTCCGCTTGATAATAACAATCGCGGGTTGTTCTCGGGTCCACTCGAAAAAGGGTTTTCCGATCAATTTCAGAGGAGTTTCTCTCACGGTGCTTCTGCTTTCAAATCCAGATCGAGAAAAGGGTCGTTGATTCGGGTCCTCCAGAGGACGATATCGAAGACGGTGTCCCGTGGGCAGAACTCAATTGTGGCTCCGATTAAGGGCGTGATTTCGGTTAAAGAACTCGATTGGTTGCGAGGGTTCGAGAAGAATCACAATCAACTTACCCATAACGAGAATCTGACTGTTAGTAGCTTGAATCTAAGTAGTGATGGGAGTCTAGAAGATGACGATTCTTTGGAGAGTCATAATCTTCAATGGGCGCAGGGAAAAGCAGGGGAGGATCGTGTACATGTGGTGGTGTCGGAGGAACATGGGTGGGTTTTTGTAGGGATATACGATGGGTTCAACGGGCCCGATGCGCCTGATTTTCTGTTGTCCAATCTCTACTCCGCTGTGCATAAAGAGCTCAAGGGTTTGTTTTGGGACGATAAAGAACACTCTGTGGCGGTAACAGCCCCTCTATCCTCCTCTGAGGTAGAGGAAGATTCAAATCAGAGCCGTGATTGGAATGGTGGAGAAGATGCTTGCTCACGGTGCTTCGAGGAAGAAAATTACCCTTCTGAGGATGTCCATTTTGATTTGAATTCAAAGAGAAAAAGAGGGAGAAATTCAAGGAGTAGGTATAGAGGAGCTGCAAAGAAATGGGAAGAGAATCAGAAGAGATGGAAGTGTGAATGGGACAGGGAGAGACTAGAGCTTGACCGGAGATTAAAGGAACAGCTGAATAGAAATGGCTCCAATGGGTCAAGTAGTATAAATCACTCAGAGGTTCTGAAAGCTCTGTCTCAGGCTTTGAGGAAAACCGAGGAATCCTATTTGGACATTGCTGATAAGATGCTTATGGAGAATCCAGAGCTGGCCTTGATGGGTTCTTGTGTGCTTGCAATGCTAATGAAAGGAGAAGATGTTTATGTGATGAATGTTGGAGACAGTAGAGCTGTGGTAGCGCAAAAGGCAGAACCTGATTACCGGTTGGGGAAGAGTAGACAAGATTTGGAGAGAATCAATGAAGAAACATTACATGATCTTGAAGGATTTGATGGGGATGCACCTGATTTAGCTCCCATCTTAGCTGCTTTTCAGCTTAGTGTGGATCACAGCACCAGTTTGGAAGAAGTAAGAACTTGTTTCCTATATGTGGCAATAGTTCAGTTGATGAATTTTTTGATCATAGGACAGCTTTTCTTTCTATTCCGTATGTTAAGCTTGATTTTGATTTTCATTTCAGGAAGTTCAAAGAATAAAAAATGAACATCCGGATGATCCTTGTGCTGTGATGAATGACCGGGTGAAAGGTTCTTTGAAGGTCACTAGAGCTTTTGGTGCTGGTTTCCTCAAACAGGTAACAAACATTTTAACCTTTTCTAACTGATAATTGATTATCCGCTATTAGAGTTGGCTTCTTTGGTATCTGAATAATGAATGTTTTAGGACTCGTTAATATCTCATATAATTCTCCTTGCATATCATTAACATTGCACCCACTCAACGAATGCTAGATTTGGTTAGCACAATACCTTAATTACTGAGTTGCAGAGAAGAAAATTGTTGGTTCTAGTTATGATTCTAGCAGTTGTACAATGCATTGGAAATCAGTTGTAGTGAAAAGTGAAAACAAACAGATGAAAACTAAAGGATCACAATCCAAGGAATTTAGCTTTCTGGTTGAATAATTACCAAATCAAATGTTGCAATGGAATGACTAGTATAGTTGCATTTGCTTCTGGAAACTATAATGTTGTTAGATTCAAGAAGGTTTGATTGGAAATATGGTATCTGAAATTTCTTCTTGTTTTGAATATCTGCAGCCTAAGTGGAACAATGCACTTCTTGAGAGGTTCAGAATAGATTATAAAGGAACTTCTCCCTATATCACTTGCATACCATCTCTCTACCACCACAAATTGGGCCCAAAAGACAGATTTTTGATTTTATCCTCTGATGGCCTATATCAGTACTTAACAAATGAAGAAGCTGTTTCTGAAGTTGAACTTTTCATCACATTGCAACCTGAAGGAGATCCTGCTCAGCATCTCGTTGAGGAAGTCCTCTTTCGTGCTGCAAAGAAAGCTGGTAATCTTCAAATAACATTTTGAAAAATTTTCATTATTCTCATCAAATCTCCCTCTTATTCCTTTCCTAATATAAAGAATACCAAGAAACTGAAATTCAGTGCATTTGGCCTCTGTTAATCGCAGGAATGGACTTTCACGAGTTACTTGAAATACCACAAGGGGATAGAAGAAGGTACCACGATGATATATTCATCATAGTTATTTCTTTAGAGGGAAGGATATGGAGATCTTTTGTATAATTAGAGAAAAACAATAGATATACCACGGAGAGAAATGCAAGGAACAAAAAGGAAAACTCAAGCATTTCCATCTTTTTTGCTGTTTTTCCTTTTCTTTCTGTCACCTTTGTAACATAAACAATCAAGCTTCATGGATGCAGAGGAACTTGATTGTCCAATGTACTGTGGTGATGCTGAGGTGTACAGATGTAGAATCTGGTTCATGTTGATTATATATAAAATGTGATAAAAAGAAAAGTGATTTTGTATTAATATATATATATATATATATATATATGGAATTCCTTTTGAAAAGGGTTCTGTGAATATGTCTCCACCATCACTTTCGTTTACTTCTTTTTCCACATGCCCAGCCATATGGGGCAGGCAATGCCAGTTGCAGCGCTTGAGTGTCTGCCCCTTTTGGTTTTCATTCGTTGTCTTTATAAAGGTTGCATTGGTTGAATTGCTGATTCTTTAGGCAACATTCTTCTTAGCATCTCACCACCTTTTCTAGAGAATCCAACATTAAAAATGTGGACATTTTTACTCTCTTCTGCATTAGATCACTATCTTAGGTTAAGTTTGAAAACGTGTGTTTGAAATATATATATTTAAAATATATAAATTTTAAATATATGTATTTTAAAATATGTTCTTTGGATTAATTTTTAAAAGATAAATTTTAAATACATGTATATTTAAATATATTGTTTGGATATATTAAAACATTATGTATTCAACATTGAATTTCTTGTTAAATTAAACCATCTATTAATTATTTTGATGAAATACAAGAATTTAAAATTGAAATTCATGGGTTAAAAGATGCATTTGAAATACATGTGATTTTAACTTTGAAATATAAGGTTTCAAATACATATATTTAGACAAAATTTAAATATATTATATTTCAGTAAAAACAAACAATATATTTAGATTTAGAGCTCCAAATTCAAATGCACTCTAACGAAATCCAACTTCCCAAACAGGCCATTAGAGTCCATTTCATCTCGAAGCTTTTAGTTCAAGGCTGAAGGCGGGAGAGAAATGCCAGGAAGAAATCAGCAAAGGTGAGATCCTCATTCCTCAGAAGTCGAATGTATGAAATCAATTTATTTTATGTTTCAATCTGCGCTCACTGGCTAGTTATTTTAAGACCAAATTTTAATACTAATAATGTGAAATAAGTGATATTAATAATTTTT